ACGATGCTGATGGAGGAGTAGCCTGCAATCAGTTGTTCATGAAAACTACTGCCTGCCTGCCTGCCTCCACCCTTGCTTTGTTTCAGGCACTACATTGCACTATATTAGTGCAGCATGATATGCACATGTGACTTCTACCTTCTATTGCCATAAAACACTGCCTCTTCCACAGACGAAACCATAGAGCGGAGGAACAGCTAAGGTCAACACGAGAACATTCGAAGGAGAAACGACGGCAACAGGAAAAGATGTTTAAATGTCTCACATTCTACAAAACAAGTGTGAATCTCAAGTAAATATATGTATAGATTTTTTTTCTCACAACTGATCTTTTGGTTGTAGTAAAGTACCTTTTGTGGTTTGTAGATTTCGTCTGGTGTTATCACTGTATTTCTGCCCAGATGCAATTATGCGATTTAAACTACGATATCAGCGGGTGACTTCTTTTAATGAATCACCTGCTTTAAAGTTCTTTTTAACCATAAAAAAAAAAAAATCTGATTCAATTCAAATTATTTAACCTTTTTTTTTATCCACAGACGTCCATTGTGGAAAAGCTGAAATTTTGCAGTGATTAAAGAAAAAGAAAGATCAATAAATTTAAACCGTTCACGTCATGCAAATGTCATTTCTGCCTTACTGACAATAACTAAATACTAACAGTCCTGTAATACAGTTTGTAATACTTGAATGGGGCATACATTATACACTGTAGCTCATTATACACTGCAGTACATATAGACATAAAGAGAGACTAAATTTGTTTTAAGATTTTTCATGTAGTAACCGTATCATAGCTCCTCTGTTTTGCAGCCATAATACATGAGGTGAAATATAATTAAAAAAAATATCTGTACAAACAAAAAGTATACAACATGTTAATAATAAGAGAACACGCTTCTGCTGAGTTCAATGTAAAAGCAAAACTGGTGTGGAGAATGTTTACTTTTTTTGTTGTGGGATTTGTAAATAACAGCGATTTTTTTATTTTTTTGGGAAAAAAAATTCAAAGTATGTGTACATTTATTTTGTATTGCACAAAAAATGTTTAGTTTGACTATTGCAAAGTGGGTGTATGATATTGCTGATTGTTGTTATCATGATGCAAGTTGTATGTTGTGAACAAAAAAGGAAAGAGAAAAGAAGCAGAAAAAGTCGAAGGCTCAGCCGTTTTGTACAGGTTGTTTATATGTATGGGAAGAATTACTGAAAATAAATGAGGACACGGTTGTAAACACACAACGGTAAAGTTATTAAGTCTGAAGTCATGTTTGTCTATTGTTATATGTCCACTAGAGAACAGAACATTAAAGGATAAAGCTGGTGTTTTTATATATATTTTTCTTTTTGTCAACAAATCCCATGAAAAGAGCAAAACCAAGGTTTTGTTAATCCGTCTCTGCCAATACTCATATCAATATTTTCACATTTAAAACATTTGGTAACTCTTTATTTTACACGTCCATTATTTCCTAATAACTTCTTCAAAGTTTCCTGGAAAGAACCACAAACTTTGGTGCCAATTACAGGAAAAAGAAACAGTTCATTATCGACTTCCCAAATAATTTCCATGAAAGAAAGTTCTCCACTTAAACATCAGTGAATATTTATTACTCATTCATTTATTATTGGAAACTTTATATTGATTTTATGCTGAGCCGTATGTTTGTTTGCAGACTCATTTCACATTTTGCATTTTTAGCTCAGCTGTTATCCTCGGAATAAAAGTCTCAAGGTTGAGTTAGTTTAGCATTTAGAATTACCTGGAAGTGAAGCAACTAATCAGCGACCTAATTATACTGTATGATTCTGTCAAGGAAACTTCTTAAATAAATTGGAATATGCAGACACATAAAATAAAGAGTTACCAAAAAATCCCAACTATATATCGACCAGTATTCACTTTTTAAACATAAACAACCTTGATTTTAAGGAATTGTGACCGAGATATTTTATGGATAAAAAATAAACGTATTAATGCTCTCTGGTGGACAAACTATCTAACGACGACACTGTTTCTGAATGACCTTAATCACCAATATATCTGCGATCAGATAATAACAGCCATCATAACGTCCTAGTTGTGTTAAATATTTTTTAACTTCCCTAACCTGTCTGTGGTTCTCAGCCCAAAGTCCATTTGCTCAGACTGAAAACATAAATTTGTAAAAACAAACATGGGAATATGTATTAGTTTATTAGTTTAGTATACAGCTGGGCACTGTAGTTTTTAGCCAAAGTTACTCAAACTGAAAGAAATATTGCATTTGTTTGGGACTATTTTCAGTTGCGGATCAATACACATTTGTATTCAGCTAGTAAGTGTCCCACATATAGCATCAGCAGGACAGCGATGTGTTTTTAACAGTGTTGGAGGAGTATATATGAAGTATATGAGGATTTGGATTCATGTATATTACTGCAGGATGAATTCATTAGTGGTTTTGGGCTTTTCATGAGGTTTGTTGACAATAAGAAAAATAAAGAATATCACCAGACGTATCCTTTAAGCTGGAACAGTGATGAAAAGTCACTTAAAGGAGTAAAACAACTAAATAATATCGATTTCTAAATGCTCTCGGTCTGCTCTTACAGGAACAAGTAGGGGTTTTAACCACTTAAATGATGGGTCCAGTATTTTTAACTCCTGTTCATACTGGACGTTAACAGATCTCTTCCACTGTAAGGGACAGAATCCACAGTCCTCGCTCTGAGAAAAACTGTGTTCAAAGGTTTATCTGAAGCTGAAATGAGGCCTCGGCAGCCTGAGTTAATCAAATCAACTGGGGATCTTCCAAGTTCCTGTGTTTTTAGCACCAAATTCCTTCTTTGTGTTGGTATCCCTCCACTGCAGCTCAACACAGAAACACTGAGAGGAAGAGCAAGAGGAAATTTAGCACTAAGAAGCCTATAATTTGGAAGATACACACTTGATTTGATTAAGTCAGACTGTTGAAGGTTTAAGCTTCAGAACGAGGACTGTTCCACCCCACTTCCACCAGTTATTGATCAGTATGAACAGGATGAAAACAGTTTCACGCTCGACGTGTTGTTGTTGTTGTTGTTGTTATATGGCAAAATTGTGAACCTGTCCTTTAATTTAAATTTTCATTCAGAAAAAAAATCAACTACGATTACAACTTAATTAATTTGACAAACTAAACTGACAGGTGTTTGATTTAGATTCAAAATGAAGACTTGATTAAGCTTGTTTTTAAACCTTTTTAAAGGGGCACGTCGCTGATTTTACATGTCAGATTACAAGTCACTGTACTACTCAAAAGTGACATCACTTGATTAATCGCTGCTTGGGACTGAGGCCTAAAGATTTTTAACTGACGTCTGTGTTACGAACCTGAGTCATGGAGTTTGAAAGATGAGGGCATTTAGCAGACAGGGAAGGTCTGATGAGAGATGCTATCGCGTTGTTTTATTGGATCTAATGGTTCTAGAGTCTGACCCATACTGCGGTTTAAAAGTCAGGGTATATCGGCCTCTGCTGCTGCAATCCTGATTATTCTTTTTTCTTCTGTCTCTCAAAGGTCCCAAACTTTGTGGGAGTGAAACAGTAAAATCACTGGCATCCTCTTTTAAGGGACTTGTCAGTTACTAATTTGACGTTTGTTTACCAAATAAAAAAAGAGTTTCATCATAATTGCAGGGCAAAATATTTGTCACACACAAATTCAACTGACAATTCAGCTTTAAAATGTTCACTGAAGGTCTGCAGCTACGTCTGGTAAATGAATTTAAAGTCTGCATTAACAAACAATAACCAAAACAGTGTCTTCAATATAGAGGAAATTATTAAAGTCGTTTTTTTTTTTGTTTGTGTGGAAAAATAAATAAAAATTACACAAAAAACTGATGAATTAGATTTCATAAAAAACCTAAGTAACCTTTAAAATGTTTCAATTTCAGGGTCATTAAATAGTTTTTAGTGATGATCATTCATAAACATGAGAATAAGCTGTTACTGATATATTATTATTAATATCATATCTTATAATATTTAGTTATTGAACCCGTTATCAAAGGCTCAATACCTCATTAAAGGCACAGCATACAGGATGTACTACATTTAGACCAAACTTGTATCTCACTGTCTGGAAAATGTATTTAAAGTTGCACTTTAAATACATTTACTCTAGTAAACTAAAAATGTCCGTATTGAAGTAAATTATTCAAGTAGTTTATTTTTGTTTGTGTGGTAAAAAAAATTTGCACTTAAACCCACAGAAAAATCAAATATATTCGTTGGCATGAAATACACCAAAATAACCTTTAAATGTTGTAATTTCACTTCTCTCCACAAGTGAGATGATGAGTAATGAGTATTGATGGGAATAAGCTGTTATTTAAAGCTGCACCATGGCAACAGTCTGTTTTTTTTTGTTGTTTTTTTACAGAATACATATGTGGAACGTGAATCTAAATTTTCTGACTGTGTCTCCTGATGTTCACAGAGAGTGATGTACAGAAAAAAGAAAAGCCACTGCAGCTGACGGCCACTAGATGTCAGCCCCTGACGACGTTGAAGGAAAAGTTGCCTATAAAAAGTCTATAATGTGAACCTCCTTCCCTGCTTCCCCCTTTCTCCCTCCCCCCCCCCCCTCCTCACTCACTCTATTTCTCTCTCCCTCCCTCCTCTCTCTCTCTCTCTCTCTCTCTCTCTGAACCTCAGAGCGCACTATATAAAACATTCCTCCACACTGACAGTCAGATCTACAAACACCTCCGTTCTCACCACAGCGCCTCCACTGCCTCCAAGAACACCCCAGTTAGTCACTTGAACCGTTTTAACATCAGACATCTGACCCTCCTGAATGAGCCTGAGAAGATTCATCTCTGCTGTCTCGCCTCAGGACCGCCTTCCTCACTCTTTATTTCTCCTCAAGTTCGGCAGCTGATACCGGTTCAGTCAGGAGGAGATTTCTTTTTTTTGCGGCTGAGAAGATCAAGGACAGTTTGACATGAGGGGAGACGTTCCACAAAGAGGCATGAAGACCACATGTCTGTGGGCTGCCGCTGTGCTGCTGTCAGTCATCTCTCTGGTGAGTTAAATGTCATTTTGATTTGACCTTTTTTTTAATTTTTTTATTTTCATGTGTTCTAATATCTCCACGATTTCTGTGATTAATGTTCGGACTCATTTAGCAGCAGCAACATCAAGGGATGTCCACAAAGAGACGTTTTAGACAAGTGAGTTTCAGGCGGCGCAAAGACCTCACGGCGTTAAAACAAGAAATGTATTTCAACATCATGTTAGTTGCTGTCTTGTGATGTGAAAACCTAGAAAAATGTTCAGCATAATGTCATTTTCTTCCCTTCTCCAGGTAATGTTACCTGATGGAGTTGAGTTAAAAGCATGTTTTTGTAGTGTTTTCCGTAAATTTGATACCTGTGATGATAAATTTCAACACCCACAAACCAGATTTTCTAACTACTCCATGCAGTGACTCATTAATATCTTCATAAATTAACAAATGTCAGTGTGAACGCAAGCTTCCCAAATTCAAATCTGCATCTTTGACAAATCCACCCGCACACACACACACACACACACACACACACACACACCCACCCGCTGGATATTTCTCCCTCAGCACTATCAATTCAATCCTTCCTTTGCATTTTCCCCTCCTTTCTCCCATTTACAGATGCGGTTCAATAAGAGTGTATTTGACAGTACGGTGGAGAACAGCCTGAGCCCATTATGACAAACATACCAGAATGCTCCTAACTCAATGCCTTGACAGTTTGTGACAACCCAATTCCTTTAATCCTCAGAGAGACAGTAACCCCTCACCCACTGATAAATCTGTCAACAAAGCAATCAAAGCAGAACAGGAGCCACTCCTCTCTCCAACAAAAATTCCATAAACTTAATCCCTACAAACTTGACTGGCCTTAAAAAGCTCCCGTGGTGTTATCTGTGTTTAATTTGCATAGTGATGGAAAGAAGTCAATTACTATTAATTATTCTCTACAACTTAATACCCATTATCGAATTGAATTCACCGTCTCGAAAACCATAAACTCAATTTCACAGCTGACTAAGCACACTAATCATTTCACCCCACCACCACCACCGACCCCCCCTTTTCTTTTACTTTACGAAGCCCTTTCCTGCTTTGAAGGGACACAAGGATTCTTCGATTTCAGAAGCAATAACATTAACTAACATGGATTCCCCTATTGTCACAATATAGAGACAAACATTAATGATTAAATGTGTGAATTATACGTACAAAAGCATCGTGGTAGTGAGAGCGAGCTGATCTCATAGCATCACTTGATGGGAATGTTTTTTTCCAGACTGGGCTGCCAAATTGCTTCGCTATGCTTTAATGGGATGATCATAATTGTTTCGTACTCGGTGCATCCTAAGCTTTCGCCTGGAGCTCCTTCAACAGATTGACAGACCCATGGGAACCTCACAAACTTATTTTGGCCGCCTTTGAACCAAGTCGTGTGTGAAATAATATGATTATGCATTTTTCCTCTGGGTAAGTTGGAAAACTGGTGGCTAGGGGTTTTTTTTTCCCTCCTCCTCCTCCTTCTTCTTCAAACTGCCCCGCTCTAATATCCTGCAGTCTGTCCGTGCACAGTATTTATCCTCCTCAGAAGTCATGGTAATAATTGTGCCCTGGCCTCTCAAAGTGGAGCTGCAGTGATAGGACTCGGCTCCATCCACAGCTGCCTGTGATGTCTTGACACACTTTTTGATTTGTCATCATCTCTGACCCCCCTCAGGTAACACTTTGATATCACTGGGAGAATATAGACCTAAACTCTTAGTGGGTGTCAAATGCCCTTAGTTGATCCATCAGCTCAACTACAGGGGGACCTCACAAGGCGAGTTAAATTCACTGTAAATGACTATGACGACAATCATATCCCAAGTGCTCAGTCGGAAGACACTCTAAAGGACGGCATCAACACAGTAAGGACTCTTCAGCTACCTTCCTCTCTAAAGGAGCATTTCTTTCAAACAAAACTCAAGATGATTACCGACATATTTTGTTTTTCTTCTCGAGCTCTTCTTCTTGTTACGATAGATAGTTTTTGTGATTCATGGCGTCTGAAAGCCACAAATTAGATTAAAATAAGCTTTTACTGCGAGATGCAGCCGGAGGTTAGTGACTGCCTCATCGCCCAAAGGTCACAGGTTTGATCCCATAACAGCCACATGTCCTTGATCCAAACTCTAATAGCTCCTCACACTTTAAGCCTCTCTGGATAAGAGCATCAGTTTAATACTTCAAAATTTAAAACTAAATAAATCCACTGAACTCCCCTCTCTTCTTTTCAAAACGTTTGCGGTGCAGCATTAATGCACAAAAACTATTAAAGAACAACCACTCTATTAATTTCTGAGCGCTGCAGCTGAACTCACAGCATGCAATCAAGATTGCAAAGTGGCAGCCCAAATCTGCTATCAGCCCAGTCCCTCTCTATTCTAACTCTGTTAAACTAGAAGTGTCGCATTCACAAATCCTCCCCACACACAAGTCACAGCAGCCGCAGCATTCAAGTAAATGAAAACTGACACACACTTTCATTCTTCCTCGCAAGGTTTTGTGTACAGCCCACCGCCGAGTCATCTGGCTCCTCCGGAGCTTCTATTAAAGGTGGAATTTGTTGGCTGTTTGGAGGTCCAGCCCATAGAATATCCTCCGAGCTCCCGAGGGAAGCCGGGGTTGTTTATCTTCCTGTTTCAAAGAGCGGACGCCTGCGCCTTATCACAGTCTCGCCAAGAGTAGATAGCATTTAGGTTTGTCCAACAGCCTGCCTATATGCTGCATCTGGCAATCTGTGAGTCGTTTCCTAAAGGACTTCTGCATACTGATGCTGTTTGTGTTATCTTGCCGAGGGATTCTGCCTCATAAGCCGAAGCTGGGAACAATATTAACAAACAGTTAAATGAGGTTTTAGTGGGGGTGGGGGGTGGGGGACTCCTGCTTAACAAATTGCAGGTCGAAAAGTTAGAAAAACTCCGAGCTGTGAAATGAAAGCCTCTAAATATGATTGGAAGCTACGTTTGAATATCTTTCACATCCTTCACTGTATTTCATATATACCATAAATTACATTTTTTCATACTGCTGCACGAGGCTGTGACCGACGTGACTTTGTGTAAGCAGGTGTGATACCAGTTGTTCTGGCACACACCGAGGTCTGTGTTTCTAGCTGTAAGCGTGGAGTTCGGAAGGAAAGTAGTTATGGTCGAACAAAAAGATGCTTTTGCTTGTTTTGGGGGGGGGGGGGTATATTAGCCCGACTGATACTAGAGATTAAAATTCAGGACATCTCAGCCTCTGCCAAACTTATATGGAGGTGCAATACTAAATCACTACTACCCATTAAAGGCTACTGATAACAAATATATTTTACTTTTATGTAATATCTTTAAAGCCCCTTGGAAGTATGGTTTCAAATCATTTTTGTTTCTGTTTTAGAAAGTATTTAATCTTCCGTGACATTAAATATTTATTGCTTAATGTGCAACAATCAAAGTTAAAGCTCAGTAAAAAATAATCCTTACATGTACTTATTATTAATTAAGAGTTTAAAGCTCAAAACTCATCTGATCTGCTTCACGAGGACTGTGTGATTGTGATTTGATTGACAGCGGGTATGAGCAAACAACCCAAGAACTGTTGTTATGTTGCTGAATCCTGACTGATGCTATTGAAGTATTTGACATCACATTTTTTTTTTCTGCCCATCTGAAAACAGTGAGAATGGCACAGAGAAAACAGGAAGCAGAAAGTCTCACATTGGGATTTAAAATTGTTCAGACTTTAGAAAGAATGAAAATGTTGTGTTCATATAGAAACCCATCACTCATTGCAAAACGCTGATTTAGAAAATATGTTTTCAGGGAGCTAACAGCAGCTCTTTAAAGGACTACATCAGGACATTTGCATGTTTTAGAAATTTGACATTTTCCTGACAATTTTCAAACGTGTAAAGTTTTAGATTTTTAGATTGGCAGCCATTGGTTTCCAATTATTTCTGCACAAATGGAAAATCCCTTTAAACTTGCTTAAGTTTGGTAATTTATTACAGTGAACGTCAGATTTAGCATCCACTGCGAGGGATTACACAACTAATTTTCTCAAGTTTTAAAGATAAGGCTGGTGTTATTCTTTACTTTCTATTGTCAACAAACCCCAAGAAAACCAACAGTGTGTTAGTCTGTGTCTCTGAGCAAGACGTAAATCTTTAGAAACAGCTCAAAAATATGTGCTTTCATTATCACTATTATTATTTTTAAAAAGCCTACATAATTTCCTAAAACACTTGGGCACTGTTATTAGCAACTGTTGCTCAAACAGGAGTAAATAGTGCATTTAGTTTGGAACTATTTTCAGCTGCGGATTAATACACGTTTGGTGCACAAGTGAGTGCTTACAGCAGCAGGACAGCGTATGTGGGATTGATTCAAAATAAACTGCAGTGCCCATGTTCGTGGTATTGGAACGTGTCACCCAGTGAAACATTATGGCTCGTTTTAATGTTTAATTTCTTTACGACTGTCTGTGGAACAGAGGGAGGAGATACGTCACATCTATTGGCTGCACTCGGTACGGTCGACTTATTGTTTGTTTGGGATTAGTTGATAACAGCACAATTATCTCCAACCTTGTCCTTGAAGAGTTTTTTCATATAGAGGAATGAATGGAGACAAATAGCTTCTTAATAACTAATAAAACACAGCAGCATGGAAACATATAGATAAACTTACTACTTACTATTTCTTTTATGCAGAAGCTAATTGTTTCCTTTTTGAATAATGGATGTTTCTCTCAGCAGTGGATATCATGTATCCTCTTTTCTTTTCTTTTCTTTATTTCTTTGTTGCACACTTTGACATTAATTCAGGTCAACTGCTAGTTTGTACTTTTCCTGTTCAAGCCCTTTTTTTGGACACGTAATTAGATCATCATCTTCTTCATTATCGATTAATCTGATTACTTTCTTGATTAATACATTTGATCTAAAAAAAATTACATTTACATACAATTTCTTAAAGTTCAAGTTGACGTCTTCAAATCACTTGTTTTGTCCAACCAAACAATCCCAAAACCAATTCATGTTTACATTTACATACAATTTCTTAAAGTTCTTAAGAAATGATTTTAACAATTAATCGATTATCATTATATCATTTTACCTCTAAATGACGCGTGACAAAGATCTCAGTTAGATTGAAATATTTCTTTGTTAAATTAAATGTATTGACAGCTCTCTGTTCAGTGTGCACATCTTTTTCTGACTTTTACATTAGAGGTGATATTTCACAAAGTATCATGATTTACAGTAAATGGGCTGAAATCACTGGTAAGATTCCCCAAAGGTAGTGGTTCTGAACTGGAGGGTGGGGACCCCTCCACTGGGTCACAACAGACGTCTGAGGGGTCGCAAGATAATTAATGGGAAAATGGCATTTTGCATTTTTGCAGATTTCTCTCTAATCTTTGCTTTTGTCTGGTGAGAGGCCGGATCGTTTTTATTTTCTCTCAGAAGTTTAGATGGGAAATTCACTGCTCGGTTGAACCGCTCACAATTGATTGACATAACCCCAACCTGTAACGAATGGTCGCAAGTGGTAGTTACCGCTTCATTTTAAGGACACGTCCGAACCAAAAACGTTGCGTAATGCTGCAACAACAACAACCCCTGAAATCAAATCAAATTCAGAAAATGAATTTTAATTAAACAAAGACAGTTCACCTTTATCCCACAATTTTGTTTGTCCCTTATTTGATATTTAATAAAATCCACTATTGACAAACCAATATCTGTTAAACCCAAAGTTATCAAAGTGTGACTGTTGACCTTTACGCCTCCATGTTTGTTCTTTTTTTCCCCCTGTCCTTTATCCAGCAGCTCTCTGCCTCTTTTCTCTCTGCAGTATCTCCTCCAGACACATTCATGCATCTAACACTCACACTCTCTCTTTGTGCCTCACTTGCATGTTTTTGAAGCCAGCAAGAGGTAAATCTTGGCCCTCCGAGTGTTGGTGCAGTCAGTCGGGGTGTTCTGGATATAAACGTTGCTTTAGTCAGGACTGCCTCTGATCTGCCTAATCTCCCCGGGCTGGATTACAGGTTGGGCTCTAATCCGTGAAGTGGGGTCTCTGTGAATGTGCCTCCGAGTGCTCTAATCCAGAGACTGTCAGGTGCTTTAGATGAAAGCTAATTGCATGTCACAGTTTGGGGACCATACATAACGCCGGTGACAACAGAGCGAGTTTCCACAACAAGGAATTAGGTCTGACGATGACTGGGCACGCACTTCAGATGTGCTGTGTAATTTTGATAATCTTGGAAGAAAAATAGTGAAGAAATCCCCTCGAAAAAATTGATTCCAGTGACACCTCCTCTTACAAAATTATTCATCACATGAAGTTGCAGAAAATTACGTAGCTTTTCAAAACATTATGTTGTAGGCAATCTAATTTCCCGCTTGACAAAATGATAAAAATTCAAACCACCTGGCTCGTAAACCTGCTCGGATCTGCACTGTTTGGGAAATGTTCTTCACATTTACACCTCAAAACGCTGCATCCACACATACACACTGCCACTTATTAGCCTGACAGTCACTTAAACCAGCTCAAAGCAGTTTCCTAATATCCCTTGATCTGGTTTCAGGACTCCGTTGAGACTGAAACCCAGTTACTGAGAAGCATCAGTAATTACTGCACTAAGAAAATGATATTTCATTTGATCACTAGAGACTACAGTCATTTAACGACTCAGAATAGAAAAAATCAGGACAAATAAATGGGGCTTAGAGTTTCGCATTCGCAGTCAAAGGTCATTTAGAGACAGTTTATCCTTTTAGAAAGACTGGAAACATCTTAAACTGAATCCACATTCAAACTCACAGAGGATCAAGTGTTAGAAACCCATCCAAGTTCACCAGTTTTTCCTCAACATTATTTTCCACCTTGTGACATTAAGTGTATAAAAATGTCAGTAAAAACTGGAACACTTAAAGTCCTCTTATTTAGCATTTATAAGCAGTACACAAACACTCAAAAAATGGCATATAACATGTAGTTTAACGGCAGCTATAGGGACATTTTAAATGTTTATTAATGCACAGTATTCATCAGCAATTATAACTTCTCCTGTGAAGACATATTTTATATCATTACAACTATTTAAACAAACAGAGACGGTTTTCGTTGCCCACCGGAGTTATAATTGTTAACAAACGCATTAATAAACACTAGACTATTGTATGTTTAAAACCATTTATTAAATGTTTACGTGCTGCTATTAAATGCTAAACGGGGGGACTTAAAGTGTTAGCCCATCAACTTAGCTTAGCTTAGTGTTATCCTTTGAAATGCTTTAATTTGCACCATTAAATGAACAGAAATGACTGAAACATGATCAAACATGAAATATTCTCAAACCCAAAAATAAAGACTGAGCTATTATGTGATAATCGACTTTATAGCTCCTTGGCTGACAGTCTATAAGATACTATTTCACTGAACTTTTACATCCTAAGGAGCTTTATGTTTGACTATAATGGTGCAAATAAATCCTGAACAGGAAGCCTCCCTCTTCCTCACACTCACTTTATCTTTTTACAATACATCAGGCAACACGACAGACTTTTGTTTCCAGCAACGGAAGACAAAAGGAGGTGTTCATTAATACAGTTTAACTGCCCCACTGCACAAGGAAACTGCTGAAATTCACATTCCTCTTGACCTCATCACTACAAACATTTCCCTGTGAAGGTCCCGCAGCTTTCCTTTTCCTTTTATAGAACCAACCGGCTGCAAAGATCTGGCTGTTTCAAAACTTCTTCTGGGTTTGAAAAGCTTCAATCTCCGTGTATCATGTTGCATTTAAAAAAGGCTCAGGCTGTCTATCTCTACTCAGAGGGGTGGGGTGGGGGATGAAACAGCTACTAAGCCAAAGTCTCCACAATGCCACTAACGGTTCGCTCACATCAGGTCATTCATCATCGCGGTCTCTTCAAAACAGCTGTAGGCCATCTTTTCAAACTCCTCCACTCTGAAGCCAAGTGCATTAAACGAAGGCGGGCTTCAGAGGAAGATCACAACTCCTGCAAACGGTTTAGTTAACGAAAGCTCGTCTCACACTCCGGTCTACAGTGCTACAATGTCATTCAGTGAACTTTCTGAATGAGAGAAGACCTTATTTTCAGAGTATTGATCGCAGCGTGCAGGTACGAAATATAAACGCTTCGACCAGATAGATCTGCTGTCACGTTCCTCGGCCGGGGTTTGGACATCACTGTCACAGGCCTCTGTGGGGTGCACGGGGAGTCTTCGCTCTCTCATCTGTGTGATTGTTAGAGGAGAGACACAGAATGAATCATCAATCATCCATTCAGGGCACATTCAGCAGGTAATAGTCTGCTGTTGCATCACGTCTGCACCCGAGGAGCGCTTCATTCATCTCGATGTATGGCAGGAATACCCTTAATCTTGATTAGGACGCTCCGCACAAGATGTTTCACACACCGTAAGACTTAGTTACAGCATTAACACCGTTTGTTATGGGCGCTGACGCGCTCGAGGACGGATAAATCATCTGTATTTGTTGGTGGTGTGTCTTTTTTTTTTTTTTACTGTCACCAAGGAGATTGGTCCTGTATGTTGGAAGGATGTCCACAGATTTTGAGGAAACACAAAACGAGCTCACAGTGTGTCCAAACAGCACTAATGCCTGACAGAACGCTGACCTTCTGCATAAAACACAGATCACATTCAGTGACAATGTTTGTTCATTTCTGTGAGGTCAAGGGGAGGGAAAGATCATCGTTATTAATCGTTCAAATAAACTTACAATCACCAACACAATAAAGCCAACATCAATAGTCAGACTGCTACAAGACACATCTCTGACTCTCTGGCTTGAAACGCTTCAGTCACATCCACCAACATCGATGTCCACTCACTTACTTTCTGCCTCTCTAAATAAATAAAGATTACATTGCCTCTCACACTGACACTGAGCTTTGGTTGTAATTCATGAGGTGCAAAATTAATGTAAGTTCTATGGATACAGTTCTGGTCACAGTCCTCCTTCAAAGGATTCCTTCGACATTTGTTTCAATAACAGAAAATGTTTTCACAGTAGGTCCCACCTGTTTCTGTTGAAAAACATTTCACCAAACAGGGTAAATACAGATTTGAGATAAACAGCCGTAACTCTAATAATTTTGTGTGATTGCAACAAGACGTGAACATGTCAAACTGGAAGCAAAATATGATGCCGTTTTAAGCTTTGCTGGTGTTATGTGACGTAAATACAACATGATGGATTTAAAGCAACAATTCCTTTAAATTGAACAACAGAATTAATAATTATAATACTTTGTTTGTGCTCTGACAGTCGTCAGCAGGACGACATCATTCATCTGTGTCGTCCACAACCGTAACAAATCACTGTTGAAAGGTAAATCTGTTTTCTCTTGGTGAGGTTGAGGTACTTGGTTGATGATAAGGAAACTGTGTAGTGTACTTTGTTGAGGTCAGGAGACCTTTAGCATCATGGTCAAAATAATAAAAGCTTTATGAAGTTAATGGAACAATCATGGTCACGGTTAAAAGAAACAGCCGTCTCCACATACCAAAGTCTAATGTTTTTGTCCGGCCTCCTCCATCTGTGGATTATTTCCTTATTCGCTCACGACTGAGTATAATTCCTACCAGCTAGTGGGCTTTGCCACTTGAAGGTAAACATATGTTGTTTTTGGCCATTGGCTGAAATGACTGTTGTTTTCATTTTTCTTTTGGAGGACAGACCAGTTCAAATGAACAGATCCCAGTGGTCCTAAATCTGACGCACATTTCATCCTTATAGCATGCTCTAATAATTTATACTCCAAAAAGTCACCATCAGCCTATCTGAGTCTTGTGCAGCCTAAGTGTTTTCCAGTTGGAGACTTCTCACTAACTTTCACCATTTTTTGTTGTTGTTCTTCTTCTTCTTCCAGGCCACCAGTGCTGATTCACCGAGTTCAGGAAATTCGGACTTAAGAGAGAGCTCAAAATCCAAAGTGAAGACCTACTGGGCCGACAGCAGCAAGGCCTTCTCCATCAGCCGCCTGCTGTCCCAGACACTCGATGGCAAAGAGAACTTCACCTCTCTGGATCTGAACTACGATGACGCAGACTCCTTCTCTAAACAGGAGCAGTGGAACTGGCTTTACAACGCTTCAAACCCCCACGACCCTCGATCCAGGACGAAGAGGAGGCCCATTGTCAAGACCGGCAAGTTCAAGAAGATGTTCGGTTGGGGCGACTTTCATTCTAACATCAAGACGGTGAAGCTCAACCTTCTCATCACCGGTAAAATCGTGGATCACGGTAACGGGACGTTCAGCGTCTACTTCCGCCACAACTCCACCGGTCAGGGCAACGTGTCCGTGGGACTTGTTCCTCCGACCAAAGCTGTGGAGTTCCAGGTCCACCAGCAGCACCAGCAGTACCACCACCATCACCACCAGCAGCAGCAGCAGCAGCAGCAGACAGCTCTGGAGACCAAGGACACCAAGCTGTTCAACTGCAGGGTGGAGTACGAGAAGGTGGAGAAGGGCACCAGGAACTCACTGTGTGCCCATGACCCATCGCAGAGCTGCCCGCAGGAGCAGACCCAGAGCCACGTGTCCTGGCTGTGCTCCAAGCCCTTCAAAGTCATCTGCATCTTCATCACCTTCTACAGCACCGACTACAAGCTGGTGCAGAAGGTGTGTCCAGACTACAACTACCACAGTGACACCCCTTACCTCCCCACCGGGTGATCATGTGACCAGACGAGGCGGGGGGGAAAAAAGAAAAAAGGAAAAAAAAAAAAAAGGACACAGAGACAGGCTGTCGGATCCTGAGCGATGTCACATTGTTTGAATGAAAATGGAGTCAAGACACTTCAAACTTGAAATGTTGACAAGCATTATTACAGCTAACATATCCTTGTCGCGAGACTGAAATTGCTCCAATGAACAGACCTGCCCTGGTCATTATGAGAGAGCATTTAGGGAAGCATTTATAGGCTTGCAATACTCATATTATATGCATAGCTACTTACATCGAAAGGAAATTCTCAAGCCAACCGTAAAAATATGCTGATTGTATTTATGTAAATATTGTGGATTCCACACAAAGACCAGAAAACAATTTTATTAATGTTTTCTCCTGCTAATTTCGTTGTTTATGTTGATAGTGTATTTCCGTCTCAATCATGCTTTCTGTCTTTTCCAATCAGTCTCTGGTAATCATCGCGAACACGTAAATGTCAATGCAAATAAGAAGAATCTGTCAGTATGCATTAGAGGACATAATGGAAAAAGCAAACATATTTTGAGTGGTGTTGTTTTCTGCAGTGTGATTGTTAGAGTGAATATACCTCTCTGATATTGTTGTTGGAATCTCGTCCATGTCCATGCATGAACCGAATGTGGTAAACAACTGAATAACGTCCATCTATATTTTCATGTTATTGCAGCTGTCAGAAATAATCTCCATCAAGTCACGAGTGTTACAGGAGTAAAAAGAAAAAAAAGAAGTACTTCTATTTTAATTCTGTGTTATGTGTTAGCAGTTTTAAGGCCACGGGTGGCGCGCAGTAAATGAAAACAATGGAGGGCTCCCGTCAGATCAAACATAAGCAAGTAAATGTCGCAATAAATAAATAAAACTTGCAGAAGACACACACGATGACAGAGATACAGAAGATCATTTTTCTGCACTGCTTCTTAAAAAAAACAAATCAAACATTACTGTGCTCTAATTCTGCTGTTTTGTCACTCCTGCATTTCCATTTTAGACATTTGAGACACCTTATAATAAGTCCAGTATAATAAATCTCAACTCACGCATCACTAACATGACAAGCAGCCAGTAGTAAGAAGTGTCAGAGCCACCGTGCCCCCACATTATCCAAAAATAACTATCTGTACATGCTAGAATAATCATTTTTTATAGAAAAGTGTCAGAGAACGAGAAAAAGAAACGAGGTCAAAAGTGTTTTTAAAAAAAAAAAAGAGATATTAGAAGAGGTGAAAACATGGAAATCGTAGAGATGCTGATTCACAGAGGCTGAAAAAGAAGAAACACTGTGCTAAGATGTGAGAAGTGGTAAAATGTGGTTTCTTGCTCCAGTGGAGACAGGACATACATTGAACAGCAGGTGCTAATCACATATTCCACCTATCAAACGTCTGCACCTCTGGTTATTAAAAAAATAAAAAAGGCAAATTCAGGATGAGACTAACACTGGCTGTTAATGATATTGGATGTTCCAATTGGCTATTAAACCTTCATTACATAAATTGAGAGCCAGTGGCTCCACGTGAAGCATTTAGAGGAAATGAACATAGTGTAAGTGGGAGCTCTGCAGAGTCAACACCATAGAAAGAATGAATTAAAGTGCCGATAGAAAACCTGTAAAAAAGTACAAATGTGCACCTAGGGGCGCGATCACTGCTGTCTATTTAAATTCAGTGCTCTTTCATAGTGTACGCGATGGTATGCGCGACACAGTTACTGCTAATGGCAGCCTGGACGACATCCAATATGCCAACATGGGGTGTATTTTCTGACAAGGCAGGCCAGAGAATAGGGGGTCCGCCTGTGGGATGAGTGAGCATAAAGAGGAATTTATGATGTGGAGGAACAAGGAGGGCAGAAATCACTGGAAGCACCTGACTCGTAAATTGAGAGCATGTTTCTGTCACAGAGAAGAAGGAATGACTAATGTCTCAGATTGCTGTTTGGGCCAGTTCTTTCATCTCAATAAAGTGACTTTGATATCCCTCCACCCCTACCCAAATGTGCCAGGGACAGTTTGTTCAGCTTCAAAGAATTAAAGCAGCACTTTGCTGAGACAATGCAGCCTCATTATGCACATAATCTTACAAGTGTAAACAGTCTGGCACCAAAGTGTTTGGTGTGAGAGCTGCTGAGAGATGGATCTGTTCCCTGACTGATGTCGTCTCCGTAAATGCACTGTATTATGATGTTTACTGTTTAAGGCTCAAATACTAATAATAACAATAATAATAATAATGATGTATTCACAAATATAACTTAAAGCTACACTAATCAATATTTCAACTGACTGTGAGTAATGTGAAAGATGTCACTTGTTGTGACGAACAGAGAGGATCACACTGTTGCACTCTCAGCTGTTTTAGCATCTTTCAGTGAGTTGTTTTGGTTTTACGGCCCACAGCTTCACTGTTGTCGGTTCAGTCTCGGGGCTCTCAGGTGGGGCCACCGGCCGGTGAACATGGTGCAGCAATTAGCAGCTAACGAGCCAGATGTTTTCAGTTAGAAGAGACCAGAGGAAAGTGAATGTTGGACTTATATATGAGGAACACGAGTCCAAATAAACACTTAAGTTTATCTGTTTCGAAACTAACACAGAAGACAAACGAGCTTCATAAGGTGATCATTTGTCAGTGAGGTTTTTTAAAGATGATTTTGCTGCCCCCTAGTTGTCAAACTAATCAATTAATTTACAGTTAGAGTTTGACAAAAGATTGAAAATCTACATTGTGTGTGTTTCAAATCGAGTAAATAAAATAATGAAACGTATAATTAAATATTCGGCTGTTGTACTCGCACAAACATTGTGGATTTGTGGTTTTAGTTCCTATTCTGAAAGACCTGTCAATCGTTTTGGGAGGCTTTGGCTTTCACCTCTGGAGCTAATCTTTTACTAACTTTTAGATCACTGATTGTACCTTCAGTAGAACTTGATGAAATTATTAAATGGAGGGGATGGAGACAGCAGAGTTAAATAATTAAATACTTCTTCTTTTTTTTTAGAAATTACATTCAAACCAATCTGAAATATCTAATAACCTCAATTCAGCAAATCTCTTTCTTGGAGAATTATTTGCACAACTGGGACAGATCGGGTTCATTTAACTCCTCTTTAAAGCCTCCGTTTCTTAAATTATGTTCATTTCAAAGCGCCATTTTACCCGGCAACAAGACCAACTGGCCATTTCCTTTGAGAGCTGTCCATTTAATGAACTCTCTGTGTATGAATGAAACCGACAGCATTACAACCCAGCAGTGTCTGGACGTGTAAGTTATCTTTGGGCCCAGATCTTCTCCCTCGGTTCAGTTGTCCTGGGCCGGAGCCATCCATGCCTGCCGTCTATCCTCCAGCTCACCCACAATCCCTGATTAATGTGGTCTGGGCGGGAGCTGTCAGAAATGGCAGAGAGAATCATGGGATTTCTCCTTCAGAGTCCCAATGACACCCAGCAGCTGCAGGAGTAAACAGATGACTAACCACTGGCCTTTTGGCAGCCTGTGGAGATTCACACGGAGGGAGGGCTGCGAACGTTGCTTTGACATTTAGGTGGATTAGAAAGTTCTTGGGTTCTGCTCTCGCGGTGTCAGAGGTGGTTGGCATAGTAATTATTTGCATCTTGGTTTTCTTCCGCTTGACCCCCAGCCGCAGGGGAAAAATGTAGAGCTACACTTTTCCACTTACAGACGTTTGTTCAGATGAAATGTTTAAGTGTAAAACATCCTCACACGCCTCATTTATAAACAAATCACATTTTGTTTGCGCCACTACAGAAGAAATAATAGGCATCTTACTCGAAAAAACAACAACCAATTGTCATTTCAGATCATGCGCTGCTGCAGAATTCATTTCAAATCTGGGGCTGGAGCTGTCCTGAGGCACAGTTTTGTGTGAGGTATTGACATATTAAAGGCTCTATCAGACAATGGCTGGTGTTTTTTTTTGTTTTTTTTTTTTAAATCACAAATAAATTACTCTCCTCAAAACACTATTACTCCTCCGGAAATGAAAACTCACTCATTGTGAATGTCTCATATCAGGTAAAAACTGGAGAGAATTAATTAACCTTTGTCATTTTAATTGCTTTAGTGACAGCTGTCCTTTGGTGCCGGAGCTATCCTAATGCACATACTGTGGGCTTGTCAATTACTTTCCCAGTGAATAGATTAAAACGCCACTGAGGATAGAGTCATTTCATTAGTCAGACTTAATGCCCCCTAGACATAACCAGGTACGAACACTTCACCCCTAAATATGCAGGAAAATGAACAATACTATTAAGCCCATATGAATCGAATGAATTGTGGCAACATGAAATTAAGTTTACGCTCTATTTAATTCTGTCCCGCTGCTTATATTATATTTGGTATACAGATCTTTCTTTGGAAGGGGTGTGGAAATTAAGAATATTTTGAGGCTTTTAATGAAAGGTCTCTGAAAGACTGAAATGCAGGGCACCTGTGTGTCGTGGCTAATTGCTCCTAATGGATGTTAGCCTCGTAACGCTGTCAATTCACAGTACAATGGATAATGGCTGACAGCAGCGACTGTTAATTCTCCCATTTTGCTGTTTGCACCTATGATCCGATGCTCGGCTCATCGTGAATCTGAGAGAAATTAGGCGGCTTTCAAATATCTGTCATCTGGACGTCTCAGCTGCTTTCAACACAATATGTCTCCAAGTCTCCAGCCTTCACCACATTATATGAAGACAAGAGCCGTTCCCGCATTTTATCAGGCTGCTCTCACTGTGAGGATTTTCACACTCGTGTGGAGCATCAGGACCGCGCTTAGAAAATTACAATGATGCAACAGATGCTGATGTTACAAATAAAAACCAACACTACAGGAAAGTGAAAAGCGTGCAACAGTTAGAGAAGCAGAGATGGAGTCACTACAGCACAGATACAATGATGGGTTAACTCTCAGACCTGTGAGTACAGAACCGCAGCGTGACGAAAACCTGTGTCATGTTCT